TCAAGGACAACCAACGCGCATCAATTATTCGCACTCCATGGTCTGGTCAGTGTAGTCGCAACTTCTGCCTTGTACCCACATTTACTAATACACTTCTGTAATAACGTCCTTTGTATTATATGGTCTTCAAAGCAGCCATAGTACCTTGATGCGATGATCCACGTTAGGTTTGAAATTGAAGTTAATTATTGATCAGACCATTGTCGTCTTACTCAAGTAGATCCCCAATTATTCAACGCAGGTCATATGCGTTGGTGATATACATATCCAAATATCTCACTCAAGTCTTCTTGAAAAGTAGCGATAGTCGACAGACTTTAGTCTCTCTCCAAATACTAAGACCATCAATATATATATATATATATATATATCGAATTTTAGAATCAATAACACTAGGTAGATCGTTAAGAAAAACTTGAAGGGAAGTTGTTTAGTGATGAAAGTTTTTAGTACTCCTGCTTGCATTTTAAAGTGGGTAAATCAGAATAAATTCCATAGTACCCTAGCCCCATAAGATAATACCTTAGCCAATTCATTAGACTCCCATTATGTTGAGGTTAAGACAAAACAATGTTATTGAATATATTTCTTGCCTGTATGTGTAAGGGCATTACTACAATTTTTAAGTCAGAAGGTGATCTGCTTTCATTAAAAAGTAATTGGAGATTGTGGTGAGAGAGGCGTTATGTACATCTGAACAGTTCTTTGTGTGAGGTATTGTAGTGGTATTGGTTCTAACCACACGATCCTCAAAGATGAATATGGCATTACTGTTTGTTACGTAGGACGAGTCAGCGTAGACAATGGTGTGACTTTCACGTAAGATCCTATAGATTAAGTAATCACATCATTACATGTCTACAACTCTGGGATTAGCTTTATTCTTATAGTATCAAAAATGAATGTTATATTATCATACTAGGACATGACCGTATACACAATTTCCAGTGTTTCAGGAAATTCTGGGCCTAAAGAAGCATGATGTCCATCGATACCCTTGGCGGGATTCGAAAAGGTGTGGCAAACAAAACAGTTCCGGAGAAAGCCAAGAGAGGCCGAATATACAGCAACACCAAGAATGTGAGGAGGAGCACTAGAGCCGACAAGCAGAAATACGTGGAAGGAGAAGCAATGACAGCAAAAAAGCTGTAAGATAGTAAATAATACGTAATGTATCGGAAAAGAACGCCGAAAATCACTCTAAAACATTTCATCGAGCAGTACCGTCATTCATCCTTGTCGTGTACTATAACCTTTATTCAAATCTCCTTTTAACCACACATTCTGTTCTTCAGTCTTCCCTGTCAGGACTTTCGTCATTTGGTTTTGGTTATTAACTTACCCGTTGTTACCTAATTTTACTGTTTCATGTTGCCGGACTACTGACAATAAACTTATGTTTGATTGAACTCAAGGTCAAGGCGTGGCTCTGTGTATGGCTGTTAACCTAAGGCTGTCAGCTTGGACAAGTTACAGGAATCTTTGAGGATATATATTTGATCCCAACCTGTTGTGAATAGTTTTATTGATTCTCAGGTATCTTACTCTTGTTTGTTACCTATCCCTTTTGTTGTTTAGCACATCAGTTTATGCTAGAGAAACCCCTGACGGTATAGCTCAGGCTGTACCGTTTGATGAATTTTGTATTTTCGATATAAATATATATATATATACTATCACGGAAATCAGTAAATTAACGTTTACCACTTATAAAGAGCATAGTTTGTGCCGAGTAGAGAGTAATATATTCAATATAAATCATGAGTCTACATGAGGTGACCACACCTGCATGGTCGATCCATGTCATCCTGATCAATTATTATGTTCACCATTCTGACCCCTCCATGTTAAATGCTGGATATGAGTTCATTCAGTCATCTCACGTTCAGCTTCGAGGATCGTGTGGTTAAAAAAATGCTACTACAAACAACTACAATCATCACTGAAAACGTACAAACATTTATAAACAATATTCTTTGCAAGATACTCACTATCCGTTGTACGGATACCATCAGCAACAGCCTACTGTGGGGGAGGACAAGCCAATTTCCGAGTGAAGAGGTAATCAAGATAAGACGTTGGAGATGGATAAGACAAAGGTTGAGGAAACCGTCAGGCTACATCACTGGGCATGTCTTTAATTGACATCCCGAAGGGAAACGGAAAAGGGGGTAAGACACAAAAACAGAGGCAGACACGAAAATAATAAGCAGCAACTGTAAACAAATGGAAGGGATTGTTTGGGACAGATTTCGATGAAGAATGCTGGTGGGCGGCCTATGTCACTCATCGAGAGGTAAAAAACGTGAGTAGATCGTCCATCAACAAACAGTTTGCTATTTTTTCTTTTTAGCACAACAACAGTAACGGTCAATCATGCGTTCCTAATCCCGTGTGATTGTTCATTAAATCCAGTCGCTAAGCCGCAAGTGACAACTGTCACCCTTACTGAAAACCTTATAACTTGTCTGTTTATGTCTTAATTCTTAGTCTAAGTACTCAATCAGTTACTTTGTCGGGTAAGTGTAGTAACACTGTAATTCAGCTGAACTGATATATTATGATCAAAACGTGGCTGTATCATCTGTTTTTCATCTAATTCAATGATCCATAAATAGACCACGACACACAGCGTACAGTGCATGTCAAAGCAACGAATTCAGATTAAAAATTGGCATATTAGGTTAATGATTATCATATAATATTATAATAACAGGTTAAATATGATCGTGCTTCTAGAGTCAAACAAAATGCCTGTATCTAAGGTTATATGAATATCATATGGGCTAACTACACGCAAGGAATCAGACGTGACAATATCCATAAAACGGCCCTCACAGCTTGTCATGCTTCTTTGTTCTTCTCTCTGGAACATTAATATTTGGCTTTCATGAAGTAACTCGACTTCATTAATTAATTGAACAACTTACGAAGTATGACGCAATCGGAATTAGACTTATCCCCGATAGTTGTTACAGGAACGACGTGGTTGTATCTTCCTTAACTGAAAGATTTCTTCTGATTGTACCCTTCTGTTCCCCTACTATTACTGTTATTATTACATTACCTTACACCAATCTCATCGTTATTGTTTTTTTGTACGTTCCCCACTTTTTTCTTTTTCTTCTTAAATTCTCATTGCTTTGTGTGGCGCATATATATTTGGCGCACTCCTGTCCCAATATATATGTGTTCAAATAAAATAAAATAATAAAGTAACTCGACAGACCAGTTATCGCGGTACGCGTGATAGGCCGAAACGTCTCCCACACGTAATGGACAGATCATAATGATCCACCCGACTGAGACTTTGTTAAGTTTTGAGTTCACGACAAACGACGGCAACCCCCATGACAGCTAGGTGCCTCAGCAATTTCGGGGAATAATCGGACAAGGTAAGCTAAATATGTCTCACATATGATAGAATAATTCAATTCTGTCCTCAGAACTCTTACAGAACAGTACCTGGAAGGCGAGTGAAGAGTTATGATGATAATAATAGTTGGAAGAAAAAAACGTGCTGGGTCAAAAGTAGAAATTGATCACAAATCTATCAGGTTTTTTGTGAACGGAAAGGAAACGTTTCGATTGGGGTGTATCGGGATTTAAAGATGGTATTCAATCAACCAAGTCCAGGTTGTGGAGTTCGTTTAAGATCATCAGGCAAAATTATCATCACAGTTTTAAATTTTTCGGCAAGGCAATTGTGACTTCACACCGACAGAAAGGTGTAGTAGGCATCGAGTCGCGTTTGACTGTGATCACCACTACAAGAAGACTACGTGCCAGTTACTAGGTCAGATTCCTCCCTAGGCTAAATATCAGAAGGTAATTGAAGGTTGTAGTAAGATGTATTTTTTGTGATCTCGTGGTATCAAAATAATGCCGAGATCGTGCCAAAGTTTACAAGCGGGACTACTGAGCGTATGCGAGTTCGTGCAAGATTGCAGACAACGGAAGAAAGTGTTTTTAGTACACTTAAACCAACAGGTAAAGTAAAACAATCACTGGTACAACTGGTTATAATAATAATTGTTTCCATTATAGCAATCTCGTTCTCTTCATAAAAGTAGGTCACTACAGGTTTTACACGCGAGGGTTTTGATTTGTTACGCAGATCATCTAGAAGCTGGTCAGAATTTACTTGTGCAATCGGTGATTTCGGTGTCTCATATATCTCTCAAAACTCATCAGCCTTGTTTACCTGCTTGCAAGTATGTGAAATTTGTCGAAATATCTTTATCGCCAGACATAAGATATTGGTTTGAAATGTGTTTTCGTTGGTTAGTGTGATGAAGTTACCAAAAGAATTGATTTGTTAATTTGCAAAATATAGATTATACGCAAAGGAAATGTGCTGGACATTACTTAGATTACTAGTGTTAGGCGTGTTGAAGTTTCTTTTTGATCTTGTAACCCACAATCATAGTAGTTAGCAATGCCAACAATGGTCGCTATTATCCGAGATACGTACCCAGAGTAACCACGTGATGTCCGTGTGATCTGCAGACACAGACGGCATATATATCGGAGTGTTGTTATCGTAACATCGGATAAGGAAAAAATAATAAGTATACATGTGCAGCGGCGTATCTCTTCATTATATTTGTATAATTTTTTATCACTTATTTAGTAAACAGCAAGTTCACAGCCAATAATGGCAGTTGTATAAATTATGAAAGGTAATGAAAAAAAATGCAAATAACCACGAAAACTAACTACGTAACAGATTTATGTTAACTTTCTCCACAAGGACTATTGGAGTCCAGTGACTCACACAAGACACAAGAGATAAGAACTCAAGTGATTTGTACTAGCTTCCTACAAACATGTGATGTATTTGTAAAATCTTTACATTCCCTTCAACAACTGAGACACATATTACATATGACCATCCATTCATTGTTCCCGCCCTGGAAATTTAGTGGTTTAAAGATAAAACACGAATTGGTTGAGTAACTTTTAGAAACCAGATAGCGTAATAGTTCACGTTAGTTATTATGTTATCACGGAAACCGGTATTTAGTTTTGTACATCTCTCCTTGAAACCTTATGAATTTCGGCGCTACCCCCATAAAACTGTCTTAAATCATTCTGATCTTGACATTAGTTATCGATGTCACTATATTAGCATGGAGCAAGTGAAGAACAGCTTAATTGGTTTGGTTGCTGGGATCAACGGTAGTTTGCCTAACCTCATTGATTTTTGTCGTAGGTGGATTTGCTTCAGTATATGTTGGACAACCATTGGATACTATTAAAGTCAAGATGCAAACGTTTCCGGAAGTTCACCCGTCAACATGGAAGTGTCTCCGAGTTACACTTGCGAAGGATGGAATCGCTCGCGGGCTCTATGCAGGAACTGTCCCGTCACTCGTTGCAAATATTGCTGAAAATGCGGTGTTATTCTGTGCTCTTCCACCTTCTGAACATCTTATAGCCGGTCTCTGTGGAGTGGATAATAGTAATCTCTCAGTACTACAGCATGCACTTGCCGGTAGTATAGCTGCTTTTTGGTCGAGTTTAACTCTTTGCCCAACCGAATTAGTCAAGTGCAAAGTTCAGTCAATGAGAGAAATGACTGAGTTAGGACATATAAAGGTTGATGTCAAAAACTTGTGAGTGTATTCATGCGTCTCTGCCCGGTATGGTTTTTATGTCACAATTCTTCAGCTAAATAATGATAACTAGATAATAGACCAAATTCCGGTAGAAGAAAGTTATGAAATTCCATCTTAAGAAAAATGGCAAATAAATTATACTAAGTTTATCGTATGAACACAACTTCTTATTTATTATTTTACACAGGGTTGTATTAAGTTGCCAGATAAACCTAGTGGTTGGAATTCTCCCTTTAGGTGATAAGAAATTTTTCGATTGAGGCCCACGTATTTTGTACATGACGTAATATTCGTTTCTAAAGCAAGCTGCATAACTCAGTATTAAAGTATGTATTTGTGTATGCAGCTTCGGATATCACTTCATATGGATAAATGGTACTATCCAACCACCCATCCCTAAGTAAGATTTGATTCTGCAACTCAGTGTTTGGTAATGCACTACCAACAAGTGAATAGCCACTTTAGTCTATCAGAGGTAACAAATAATCTCTTCTAAACTAACCTGACCCTGTTAAAAAATAACTTATTAAGAATCAGACAATTATTTAAACTCAGACTTGCCGGTTTAAGATGTCACTTTTCAGTCGCACAGATAGAAAAAATTAATAAAAACAGTAAGACGCTGGAATAAATAAGAAGAGTAGGGCTTGGAAAAGAGATGCCTGGATCTAAAAAAAGTCGAAATTTCAACTCATTTCTACCATTGTAATAGACTTCGAACCATAAAATCTGGATTTTAGCTATTAATACCTAAAGGACCATATCCAGCGAGTCTTTACCTACCTATATTTCTTACGCCATATACATTAATTTAAGACGTAGTGACTTTTTTGCTGTCTGTTTATAACCTTCACTCTAATACTATCTCATTCAGCATCACGTGTTGCGGTAGACTGTAGTTTGAGTAGATGTTCCCTTTATGCATGAACTATCCTTTCAAGAGGTTTGGAAACCAGCTGCTAAAACTCGTCTGATTCACAGTGAAGTGAACTGACCTGAATTTTAGAAAATTATTTACATTTGTGAAATCAAGACAGTCATCATAGAATTTAGCTTTCGGCCATTTCGCTGAAAATGTAAAGTCACTTTATTTACTGTAATTTAGTTATCTCTGTTGATCGTCAACAAGACGATTTCGAATGCTGATAGAGACGTGGAGGTGGTTTCCACTCCCCGGTTGCCTACACCGTAGAAGGATATTTCTTCTTGAGGGACCCGAAAAGGAACCTGAATTAGTGGTGGCATCAGCGAATTGGGAGCGTGACGACACAACTTAAGAGACAATTGCTTGAGGTCAGTCGCGCACGGCCTTTTTTATGCGAAGTTCCCGATGTGTTAGCTCCTCACTTTACAAGACCCTACCCCCGGAGACGAAAATCCGTGGGGTACGGTGAAATGTGACAGTTATATGGTTGGTCTTTTCTGACCCTCCCCTTCCGTTGTGAGAATGCAGCACTGCTGATGCTGCTTTTGCATCCCTCCAAAATCAGCAGTACGACTTTGTCCTCGTGCCTTAAGTTACTGTTTTTATTCTTACCATTCTGCAATCAACCTACTTGGTAAGGTAAAGCCAAAAGAAATATGTATTCCAGCCAATATAGCTGGTTCGAGTCCCCACAATAGGCGATCCTAAAAAGCAGCTACGGTCGGGCTATGTTTCTTTTGGATTGACTCTTCTAAATTTCAGGCAATGTATTTTGTTTCATTGCTTACTTAATCGATACCTCGTATTGTTATATTTTGAAATACTTATCAACCTATTTTACCTTGCCAGTATTCATGAACGTAGGTTCTCTCACAACTGTTCCTTGGTCTCATGTTAAATAAACCGTGATAAACTTCTTAGTCATTTTTATTTTCGTGAACCACATTTAATTTATCATTTTTATGTAATTAACTGATAAGGATATTTAGTGCCTTAATCAAATGCTAGTTTCCAGATCAGGTGGTTCTTCCTACTTAGAATGATAGTTATGGTATCATCCAAATATTTAGCGGATACAACTAGCTATTGGAAAACAAATATTCATACTATTTCTCACTAATAATGGCCATATTTAATATAGTAAAAGCGTTGGTAACTGTTTTCGTTATCCTATCATAGGTCAGATCTATTTAATTGATTCAGTATATAACAAACACTGTAGATAATAACAATCCACACTATTTTTTTCCAAACTTATTCCTCTACCAGAGTTCGTACAACTGCAAGAGTAAGTAATCAAGTTGATTGATTTTGTTGGTTCTCGTCACTAAACTAACGCGTTGTGCCCATTTATCATTTATACTACTATAATTTCGTTGTAGAGGTCCATGGGCAGTAACAAAGTCAATATACAAAGAAAAAGGTTTCAAAGGATTTACTTGTGGTTTAGGTGCTACATTTGCCAGGGAAATGCCTGGTTATTTCTTCTTTTTTGGTGGGTACGAAGCATGTAGAACATTGATGACTCCTACTAATGGACGTAAAGAAGATTTGGGTCCTATTAAAACTGTTATCGCTGGCGGAATAGGTGGAGTTTCACTGTGGGTGGCGATATTTCCATTCGATGTTGTTAAGTCTCGCATGCAAATCGGACATCATACTGTCACGTCATCCTCAATCTCTCATGGAAACAAAGTCAGTAAACAAAAAAGCATGTTTTCTGTCCTGTTAGACATCAAGAGAAACGAAGGTAACTGCCTATTGTTTTATTATCCCATATTTTTTGCATACAGTAACCATGTAGATAGAGGTGTTATTTTCTGAAACTAGATGCTTGCTCACATTACATTAATAACTTGGCAAAACAAGGTATCGCTTATATTTATAATTACTCATTTTATTCACTTATTCTAAAAACCAGAGTACAAGCCTTTAAAATGAGAAATAGCTTGTTCTGGGCAGTAGTCCAAGCAATTAAAAGTCTTGGGTGTTATTTCACCCCTCTCACACTTATTTCAGTCAAGGTATACATAGTTGTTTCCAATCTTTTATTTCTGTGAATGATTTGCATTAATTACTTCAGGCTGTTTATCTTAAAATACTAAATTATCGTTTTCCGGTGTAATAAAATTAGTCCTAATGCATACCAATTCGTTCTTATCTTACAGGAATTCGTTCACTTTATCGTGGTCTTGGCCCAACATTATTGAGAACATTTCCAGCAACAGGAGCTTTATTTCTAGCCGTAGAATGGACTCGTAAATGCGGACATTGGTTACTAGACTGAGAGAAAAAACGAGATGAGTGACCTCATTACTTGTCTTTCAACTATTGTCATGTGTTTTGTTGTTTCCTGTCTTCGTCAGTTTCTGATTATTTCTATCTGTAAACTCTAATGCTTATCCAATTAGCTTCTCTAGGCTTTCGCGGATTGAACCACTACAGATAATTCTATTTTTTTATGCCAACACATTTAGCATATTTCTGAAAATTTGATTTACCTGTTTTTTGCTCAATAAACGAAGTTACATCAGCAAACGTTTTTAAAAAATACAAAATATACATGTATTATGACGTACATTATGATGCTTTACTACTGACTTACTGATATAAGTTGTGCTTTAAGTGTGTCTTAGATTTACAGCTTTGATTTCAGTAATTATAACTATTTTTGAATGATTTTTGCTAATGAACCTATTTACAATAGAATAAACTAGGAAATCTGTCGTCTCACAGTGATAGCGTGGAATGAAGTAGTTGAGTTCGTTGACCACTCCACTTGTCGTGGAAGCCTTGACAGTACTGCTGAGTTAATGCATAACGAAATCTTAACAGGAATTTCGGAAAATGTCTTCGTTTTTGACGAATTAAGCCATCAGTGACGTGGGCGAAATGTTCGTTTACCAATCAAAGGACGAGTATACGCCATAGTATTGTATTGTGGAACGTAGCTTTTAAAAGTAGAGGACATTCGTAGGTTACTAGCATTTGATCACAGGTGTATTCGAAGCACTTCTTTCTTATATTAGGACTACTGAGCGAGCTATTGTTAAAGTCAGTTGCAGGGTACTAGAGAAAAAATGCTTAGTCAGTTGACATGTTTATGGGACTTCAAAGACCAAGCAGGTTAGAATGCTATATATATATATATATACATATATATATATATATATATATATATATATATATATATAGTATTCCCGAACACCTACCTTCACACCATATATTGATAGATGTAGCTGTAAGTTGAAAGAAAGCTAGAGGAAGCCAAACCAAAATGTGGAATCAGTCCATGAAATCATCGACCACTGATCTGGACCCTGTCGATGGGTGCAGAATGCATCTTTGGGGTCATCTAAATTGACGTGACCATTGGTTTGAGACCATGCGTGATATGACTCAGAATAGGTCACATTTGTGAAGATAAATTCACTCTCCTCCCTTTTCTTTTGAGTTTCAGAATTCATAACTTGTATTCTGTGAATCAGCTTTTCCTTCAATCATTTTGCGTATGTCTAACCTTTACAACTACTGGTTTTACTACGGTTTCCATCTAGGCATTTAATCCCACCGTACTATTGTGGTTTGACAAATTGGACTGATTTCAGGTTCTGGGTTTCTCATGTCTAACTGACTGACTTATTTTCCCAGGTGTGTTTCTGTTCCGTTCTCTTATATGTAGACTAAGTCAAGCCTTCTGACTTCCTTCCAATTACATGTACCTACTTAGCGTTATGGCTAAGTTATCTCACCACGCATCTGGTATATATGTCCACGTGTATATTATATTTTGATGAATCACGCAGTTTTAATCAACATGATGGATGAATAAACACACTATGTGAGTGAGCGATTTGTTTCACATAGCTATAGACTGACCAAATAAGAGGGTAAGAAAGCGTTAATAAAAGACTTACAAGTTTACTTACTGTATTTATGGTCAAGTTGATTGATGTAGGTGGGATGTATTTTTAGATATGCTGACAAAGACTAATCTAAATAATATAAACCTTTAAAGTTTCAAAAGGCTTACCAGTTTTAATTATTGTTTTCCAACGGCTCAAAAAATGTGTTGAAGAGATTGGAAGATAAGTACATTTGTACGGTGATTCGAAGAATTGAGTGGTTCACATAACTCAAAAACGGAAGTGCGCAGAGTTGTTGAATCTTGCTTCGCTCATTAAAATTTTTTCCGTTGAGGTCATTGTTGAAACATCTGTGAAGAAAGTTTATTATATAGTTATCTGTTACCCAGAGATGAACTGTTTACCTTAAGTATAGGAACGCTAATCCTCTACTGTTTGATTACAAATAGGTTATTCAAATATCATCGACCATTTCTCCCAAGGTGAAAAGAAAATTCAGTAATTAGGCTTTACAAATAAATTGTAAACAGAAACTAAGAAAACAACTGTTGGAAACCTTAGAGTATAAATCAAAGTGTTTCGTTGTTTTTTGAAAAGGTCTCTTCATTGGAAACATGTTTATAAAACACTTAACTATCAATCACAATTTGTGATGGACAAAATATTATTTGCATTTCTTTTACCTTTAATTTATAATATTGAAATAAAATAGTAAAAGGCTTTAATGTCATTCTTTCATCTTCCATAATATTTAATATGAATCATTAATCAGTTTATTATGATGTACTTACCTATCAGTTTGTATTATATATAAATGTAATCATGACATTCTTGTTTGGATGCCTTTAAACTGTTCAGGTCATGCTTGTTGTTGTTGTTTTTCTTTCTTCATTTCCTTTGTTCTTATTCCTTTTTAAGTAAAAAAACAATAATTTAAAATCAAGTCGTTTTAAAGTATCATGAAACATTTCACCGGGCTATTTCAGTGTTGTTGCTGAAACATTCCCATCATATTAAGGCACAATAAATTCTCTTCAGGTTTTACAATTATTTCATATCAAATTTGAATCATCTAAATAGTATCCAGGTTTAAGGTAAAATACATCATTTAAAACTATAATATACGAATCAAAGATTGTTGTTTGTCCTATAAACTAAAACCTTTAATGTTCGGATTATTGATATGATATGTTGATTTGAATAAGTTCATAAGTTAAATTAAATTGTGAGATAAATGATTAAAATAGATATGGTTAACATGAGATGGTGATATTCAAAATCATTATGTGAATTTAGGTATGAATTAATAAATACGGTTAGATGTTGGAATAAATTTCTTAAAGCATTTTCATGTGTTATAATAACAATGATAACAGTGATGATAATGATAATAAAATGTGCAATTAAAATAAGTTTAAGCTATGAAAATGCATAGAGGAAGGTTGTATGAGCATTAATCGGATTATGTTACTATATCATCAAAATGATTATTAATTAATTAGACTAGAAGTTGACTAGGGTAGAAGGAGCGGTTGAACATATTTCTTCTGAACGCATAACTCCAGTTTTTTTATCCGAATAGCTATTGCTTCAGCCGTTCGAGGGGTTTTTAGTCTGACGTATTTAGACAGATTGTTGTTAGCACGTTATATTGTTGTAAATGATTGCCCGTTCACACTAAATGAGCTAAATTGGAGCTGTTAACAGTTTTAACTATATACCTTTGCTTAACCAAACTAGGAGATGCTCGCGAGCACGAAAATAGAAATTTCTAGAACACCTGCGAATATAACTTACTCCACAAGATCAGTTGAATTGATCGATAAAGTAGGAGTTGGATAGTCTAGGTAATTTATCTTTCAATCTCTGAGTGACCATTGGACATGTGAAAAGAAATTAATTGCAATTTGCCAGCATTAAAGGCTCTTTGGATTGCTCTATGCAACATCAGTATCACCATTTCTCTGGATTCATCGCCTCTAAATTGTAAGCGTATATACAGGGGCTTTTTGCTCCCAGTTAGGCCTTTCTCAATGTCTTTTCTCATGACTAAATGTTTACCTGTAAATTTCTCCGGATATCCATTTTCTTGTAGAGAAACACGCAATGTCTCTGTCTCTTCTTCAGATTCATCTAGGGAGCATATGGTCTTAATTCTATCATGACGTGTTTTAATCAGGTTCCTTTTATTATTATTATTATAGAGGGACAAAACTAAGAAAATTTTTATATCGTCCAGTCCAAGTAGTTCCCTTTCTTAGGTTTCTTTTTAGTGACCCATCTATTCTCCTTCCAAGTAGAACATCTAGAAAGGCTATTCTACCTGTATTTTTTCTCATATGTGGATTTAATAGACGGATCAGTTTCATTAACTCTCTTGAATGTCTCTATCCGATCAGTATATTCGTCAAAAAAGATGAACATATCGTCTATATATCGGCAGTAAAATGAAAACTTGTTAGTATGCTGTGCTAGTGGACCATTTTCCGGTTTAATGAGAAAAGTGTCAACTAATATGGGGTCTAGTGGTGGACCCATCGCGAAACCATCTATTTGTATATATATATTTCACTACTGAATTTCAGTTTTGCATTCATAGTACACTTTAGTAACTATTCCTTAATGATGTCTATTAGGATTATAGTCTCTATTTCTTGTTCTCTAAGTTGTTCATAGATATATTTGACAGTCTGCTTGAATGGGACATTTGTCAACAGGGGTTTTATTTTATCCTAAATTCACATGCTATAGTTCCAAATGATATATTTTACCTTAAACCTGGACACTATTTAAATTATTCATTTGGATATGAGATAATTGTAAAACGTGAAGAGAATTTATAGATTCAAATTTGTGTGGTAAGGACAGAAGGCCTACGGCCTGTGTTATTCCTTTTCTAGTATGCTTCTGTGATTGTCCAGTCTTCTCTTGAAAGAGTCAATTGAAGGTGCGGACACCATTGCTTCAGGCAGCAGATTCCAAGTATTGATGACTCGGTGTGAAAACCTGTATGCCACGGGTATTTTGTTCGTTCTTGGCTTTTCTACTCGCCTGCTATGTCCTCCGAGATGTCCCGATCCTTAACCTGTCTAGTTGACCTTTTAATTTTCATATATAAATGTTCTTAACAAGTATATGTGTGATCAGATTGTTTGAAATGTATTGCGCAAATATATCACTTAATTCTGATAAACTTCGTTTTCTCATTGCATTATCGAATTTTAGAAAAGAATATTATTCATTCATATTAATTGTGTTTTAAAATAAAATTTGTTTACTTATATCGTTGATTAACTGTGATATTTTCCAGCTTAATAGATATTTTTATCTTCAGAGTTTAAATAAGAACATTTGACACGGATCATAACGATAAGATTTAAAATCGTCAGTCATTAGTTTTTCGAAAGCTCCTATTAAAGTT